CCCTTTCAGCGACGGATCAGCGAGGGAATTTTCCCTCGCTGATACTCTGCATTTTTGTAGTGATGCACATGTGCATACAAACCAAGAAACAACTTCAATTACTTGTATGCACATGTGCATACCATCCAAATAAATGGTTACCAGAGTGTTCCTCAGTTTTTCATTTTTTTGGGGGTTTTCCCATGAACCTCCCTCGATATATATAGATATATATAGACTTGGGATCATGTGAGACCAACCTGTTTTCGTGAGACCCATGAGACCACTTTTTTACATTTGAAACTTCACAATAAAATGCTGTGAAGGTTCAGATTTTTTTTACCTTCACAGTGCTGTGAAGTTTCAAGTGTAAAAAGGTGGTCTCACGGGTCTCACGAAAACAGACCGGTCTCACGTGAACCCAACCCTATATATATATATATATATATATATATATATATTGTCCAAATGAGACACTACTTACCACTTCTGGGGAATCAAGAGCTTGTAAGCTAGAACGTAATTCTGACTTGACACTGGCTGGTAAATTGTTGTATAGTGTGACCCTCATATTAGGAATTAAACACGTAGGGCGAGATGCCTGCAAGTTATTGAACCACATATGCTCATCGATCAAACTACAATAACTAGGCTGAAGAAGCCAAACAAAATAGAGAAGAGCTTACAATGCAGTTCATCTGCGTGATTAAGTTGGCATAGTGTAAAGCAAGACCAGTGACGCCTAGTCTTTCGGGTTCCTTGATGCTCTTGCCATTCATTGTTGAATGTGCATCTGAAGCAAGGCAATGCAAATGAAGCACCCACATAATGCAACTCAAATTCCTTTGTTTTTGTGTGTGTGTGTGTGTGTGTGGATATATATTATAACTTCATGATATTGCATTAACGTTCTAAAAACAGTCAGAATGATATATGCAACATTTTTTCAAGCAAGTTGGAATACCGTTCTCAAAAGCTTCGGAAATTTCTTGGTGGATGAAGATGACAACATCTGCAAGCTTCTCCACAACCTACTACCCAGAAATGCAAAATGAAAAAGTCACACGTTAGAGCATAGATACGAATTCCCAATCACAGGATACAAAAAGGGATATGCAAGGGAAATTTTGATCTTCTTTTACTTCACAATTCAAAAAACTAGAAACAAAAGTTGAACAAAAATAAACTTAAGTTCTACGATTATGAAAGAGTACAATAACGAGATACGACAAGCAACTTTTTCTGATAGTTCAAATTGATATCAACGGTTAAGACCATCTCCAACCCAACACTAATAACACAAAAATGGAGGTGTTTCCATCTCCAACCCAACACTAAAACACAAAAAAAAAATGGAGGTAAAAAAATGTTGGCCTCCATATATATTTGGAGGTCAATAAAGTAGGCATCTATAATCAAATATAAACATTTTATTCAACTTTTATGATTTTATATATATAGATTAATAGTTCAAGGGACCTACCATTTTTAGTGGTTGGGTTGGAGATGCCCTAAGAGTAAAAGCATAACGACATGGGTTCTCGTTTTTACTTATCTTATGGGGTGCATACATATACATATAAACACAAAAACATATAGGCGTTCACAAACGTCTCTCTATGTTTTCAATGTTCTAAAATCTCCAGATACTAATATCCCCATATCATGCACGGTGGTGCCTTTGGTACACTGGACTGGACAGGACAAAATAGGGATCCTTATTCCACGTCTGGCAGGACCTTTATGTGGAACAGACTGGAACAAAGTGGAGCAGGCCTGTTCCACCCTCACCCCATAGAACAGGTTGGAAAAAACTTATATTTTACCAATATAACATCAAAATAAAACTTAATTCTCTTCTAAAACATCAAATAGGTCTCTTTTTTACATCTTATTCATTCTTTAAATTTTATTTATTGTATTTTATGTTTTTTAAACTTTCATTTTACTGTCTTCAAAATATTATTTTAATGCGGTTTCTATATTTTTATTAATTTATGTAATTTATTATATATTAACAATATAAAATAACGTAGAAAAAGGATAAAAATAAAAATTGAAAACTACATGAACTTTTTATTTTGGTGGCATTCTAATTGTTTTGACAAAAACTTTCTAATGATACATTTTGTTGTAAAAAAATAATTATTTTATTATAATTTAATAAGTTACATAAATTAATCAAAGTATATAAACAACTCATTAGGGGTAAATTGATCATTTTACTTCTGTTCTGTGCAGTTCTGTCTTACCAAATGCTGAACAACTGTTCTGCCTTGTCTTGTCCTGTCCTATCCTGTCTGGACACCTAACGCAGTGTATCCCATCCCTATCCCTTATTCTTGCAACCTAGCCTAGAGCCTTCAACATACATGTAAAAGCAAACAGATACATCAATCATAGGAGGGTAGCATTACCATACATATCATATAATCTTGCTGTTTATTAAGTTTGGAACTGAAGAAAGACAGCATGAACGATTTCAAAGTGGACATATGCATCAGAACAGAGGATTGAACCCCCCAAAAGAAAAGGGAAACCCTTTATGGAAGTTATATTAGTTTGTACCTCTTCCAAAATTATGGGCCAAAGAGATCTCTTTTTCAACTTCCTCACGAGTTTTTTATGATGCTTTAGCTCACTCTTTCCTATGAAAGAAAGAAGAACGAAATTTTCATCAAATAACTGAAACCCCCATTGTAGCAAAATGAGGGAGTAGTAGCTAAATAACACTAGAAATACTTTATCCAAAACTTCCATCATATTTAAAAATACTGGGAAATGAATTAATTCAAGGGAAGGAGTTGATGCAATAGATTTAAAACAAATGCAAGAACGCTAACTGCATCAAGGCCTAAGAGAACGACAAAGGATTACGCATGTCTAACCTTTTCGAAGAAGATGCAAAGATTGCACTTCCTCGAGCCTACGCCGATAATGCTGTTCCATTTTGTCCAAAGCTTCTAACTCATGGTACAATTCCTGCACAAACAATGTGTAGCTTATGCCTGGCCAAAGAGCAGTTGGAACGAATAAAGTAAAAATATATAAGGTGAAGAAAGGATCCAATCAAAAACCAAATTCCCCAAACGTGCACATACAAATACAATAGAAAGCGCAGAAACTCATCTAAATTTGTAACAGATGTAACCATTAAATCGATTAACAAAATCATTACCAGTTGTGCTATGTTAATGTTTGTATCAAACCGACATGGTATAGGTTATTAATTACAGAGGAAAGAAGTATGTGAAAGTCATCTCTGAAGACTAATTCCTGATCAACATGAAAAGTTTGTATCTTCCAATTTTAACCGCAGAGAAATCATTCTAGATAGAAAAAAGATGCTAGAATATAGGGTACTTCGCCCATTAACAGTAAGGCATATTGCAAGCAATTTGCTTTTACTTCATTTCTAATTGGTCATTAGACTTTAAAAATCCTTACTAGAACCGCTGTACTTTTGAAATTTGATTATTTTGGGTAATTTTGACCAAAAAAAACCTACAACTTGCTAACAAAGTTGGATGGTATTTATAACATTTTTACAAAGTTATACATAAAGAAAAGGAAGCAGACCGTTGACAACAAAACATATGCTGGTCTCATCTATTGGATATGGTGATGACACAGACCCCGATCAACAGTTGGTAGAATAAGATATTTGTAATCATAGTGTTGATCTATTTCAGCTTGCCGATGATATTATAATCAGTGTTTTGCGTTCCTGTGTGAAAAGATCAAACCAATGCTAAATCTTGATCTTTCGGAGTTCATCCTGGTTCATGCCTAACACCTTAAGAGAGTCAAAGACAAGCCGAAGAGAATCTAGGAAGACGCTGAAGCAGTTGAGCATGAAGACTAGCGGATTGAAGACCAACGAGTAATTCAACCAAACTGAGAAGACTGACAAATACTTCTCAAGCCGAAGCGGATTAGTGCAGACTTATCGAACAAGCTTCGGTCACCAACTTTCAACCACCACTGTCCTTTGGCATAGATAGACCTCTCCTAAGGGTCACTAAAAGTATGTTTGTCGAAAAAACCGACACATGCGTGTTCAGATCAACATGTCCTAGGGTGACAAGTGTTCAAGTTGGCAAAATGCTTTTGATGCATGGATTGCTAAAAAAAACCATTTGTGGTTCCCATGCAAATATGCTCACAATTTTTCTACATGCAAAAACTCTCAAGCAAATCGGCAACCAAGATGATTATGTCCGAAAATCTTCATATTCAAGAGTGCTCTTGATTGTTCTTAGTGAAACTATTTGCCATTCAAATAGATTGTTTAGGTAAGGTTTTCCTTTCCATAATCTGCAACAATCTTGTGATTCTTTGATTCTATAGCAATAAGAATCAATGTATTTGTAGTCAATCAAATTTCAAGAAAAAGTTTGTATTTCTAGTCAATCACCCTACTACAAATACTTGTTATCAAGTCTTTCATCCCCTTCGGGACCAACAACATAAACACAAGACGAGAAGAATATAATACAAAAGTGACTTACAGAAGTATGCTTAGCCAGATTGGCCATTTTTTGCATTGTAATTTCAGCCTTCTTTTGAAGTTGTTTGTTTGTTCCACGGACCAAATCCCAGCTGATTCATACAGTCAGAAACATGTTTTGATATCATGGCATAAAGAAGAGGTTGGCTCTCATGCTACTAAAAAAAATCGGTTTAACCTTTCTAAGTAACGATCCAGATTATGCCATTGAGGATCTATGCACAAATTTCCAAATCTCACCACATCTCTGGAGAAAACTTCAAGTTCCTCTCTACAAAAAAACAAGCCATACTATGAAATGAGCATAAGGCCATGTTTGGCAACAGCTAGCTTATTTTTTGGTGAACAAGTTCCATTTAGTTAGCCATAACCTAGCTACTTCCAGTTTCCAATGGCTTTTTCACCTTTGTCAATTATGTCCTTAGTATTTTACCTAAATGGCCAAAAACCCTAAAGCTACTATTATTATGATTACAACTAGTATATTGTCATTATTAATATTATTCTATTAAAACATAGCAATTATAATATTTTATGGTAAATTGCACATTTGGTCCTATGGTATATGAGCGTTTACATCTGTGGTCCTAGACTTCGTTTATTACGCAGAACAATCAACCGTCTACCATGTTCGTTAAAATCAAAGGCAAAATGGTCTTTTTTTGCAGTTTTTCTTTATTGTAACATTTTTTAAAGAGTGAATTTCAATTTTTGGTCCCTTTGGTTTTTCAAAAATCTTGGTTTTGGTCCCTAGAGTTCATTTAACACAAATTCGTCATCGCGGTTTGCAATTTTTCTTGGTTTTGGTCCATCAGATTAACGGCTGTTAAACAAATTCGTTAAGTAAAGGACAATTTGGTCTTCTTATCTTCTTTGTTGTCTTTTTTCCTTTTAAAAGTAATATGTATATATATGCACAAGAAACCAATCTGGCTAACTCTTTCCCGCCGTTTCCATCACGGGTGTACCCTACGCCTCCCGCTCCGTTTCCTTCACCAGCTAACTCTTCCTATTTCTATCACCATGTCATCGATCTCCAGCTCCCTACAACTCCATCTCCAACCTCCCTTTCCCTGTTGACTTCACCACCACCCCACCCCTCCGCTCCGACGACCTCCATTGGTGAAACCCCACAGCCTCCTCAATCCCCCTCTACCGATCTGTGTTTTTATAATAATAATATAAAACAAAAATAAATATTGATACACCATGTTTTCAGCTGTTCATAAGAGAAGCATGGAAAACAGATTCTTCTACCCCAAAAACCCAAATAAATCTTCACCGTCACATTTGAAACTTGAAATCTATTACAACTTACAGCAACAGGAGGAACTAGAAGATTATGCATATCTCCTTACTCAATTTCAATACCCTTAACACCTAAAATATCTCCTTACTGTCACATCGGACACTTCATTGTCCGGATACCTATCTCATCGGACATACCCTTGTCCGTAGAGGTGTTCCTTTGTTGTTCGGATAGCCTCTATTACTTGTTGACCGGAGAAGCATTTCTTTGTCGTCCGGACAGTGCTTATAATCTTGTCCGGATAGTATTCTTTTCAATCTTGTCCGGATAGTGTTATTTTCTTTGTTGACCGGTGAAGTCTTGTCCAGTGAAGCTATTTTTTCTAAGGGAATTGGGGTGCTTCAATTTTCTTAAGTAGATTTTTTGTAAGTCGCATGAGGGGGATGTTATTCTTAAAGATTTCAAATCCAGTCTGTCTATTTTTCTGAAAAGATCATTTTTCAAGTCAGAATAATGTCAAAAGATGTGTGAGTATCGGATCTGACATTAAGCCTCCAGTTCTTGTTGTTGGAGAACATATGCAATGGAAAGTTCGGATGGCTTATTTCCTTGACAATAAGGATGAGAAGCTTATGGAATCGATAAGGAATGGACGTCTCATATGTTATATGGATCTACCTGAGCAGACTACCGCTAATGGGATAGTCGTGCCTGCTTCCAAAATAAAGAAAGATCCACAATACTATACTGGTCTGAGACTGAGAAAGAAAGGGTCTTCATTGATAAGAAAGCTTTGACTTATATGTTAATGGCCATTCCTAATGAACTTTTTAACAGAGTTGACAGCAGAGGCTCAGCAAAAGAGTTGTGGGATGAATTAGAGAGACAAATGTTGGGAAGCGAAAGTCTATTCAGACTCGGATGAATCAGTGCATCAGCGCTTATGAAGGATTCAGGGCTCGTGAAAGTGAAACCATTACTGAATCCTACAATAGATTCAATGTTATTCTGAATGACCTGAGGAGGAGAAATGGTATTCAGAAATCCATGTTTGAGATTAATTACAAGTTTTTGAAGAATTTGAGGTCGGAATGGAACTCTCTTGCAGTTAATCTGCAAATGAACAAGAATATTTCTGAAGAAGACATTCATGATCTGTACAGTATCCTATACGAACAAGAGGAATCTGTGAGAGTTAATGACTGAAAAGTCCTTAGCTCTTCTGTTAGGGAAGCAAGCAAAGGGCAAATTTGAAGAAAAGAGCTCCAAGTCTCTGAAGACAGTGTTATCTGAACAGATTGAGAGTGAATCAACTGAAGATTCCTTTACCGACTCAGATGATGACATCAGGGAGTTCTCAAAGAAACTTGCTTTGCTGACACAGAAGTTTCAGAAACGGTTCGGAAAAAAGAAGTTTGTTAAGTTTGATAAGAGCAAGGGAAAGGAGGTTTTCAATTTCCTTACCACCCTTATTTTCAATTTTCACCATCTTCTTGTGACAAACTATATGAGCTTGATTTTCTGATAACCAATCCATGCCTATAATGACATCAAATTCACTAATAAGCATTAGTAGAAGCTTCATAGTGAAATAATGTTCGTCTAATTCTAAAGAGAAATTTTCATAGACTTCATCTATGCTTGTGATTCTTCCATCTACAATTTCTATTTCTATCTTTTGATCTAACTTCTTAGATGTGCAATTTAGATTTTGCAAAATTTTGTAGACACCATTGACTTATTAGCTCCATAATCAAATAAAATTTTGGCAGGATTTTTATCAATTAGGAAGGTACTGTAACCATGTCCGGTATTTGTCCAGTATTTCTTTTGTTTCCTCGGCAGTTTGTTGGAATATCCTTCCTCTGACTTTTCCAGCTTCTAGTTTGTTTTCGCTAGTGGTTGCTATAGCTTTTTGCACATTCTTGGGCTTTGGGCAGTTGTACACAAGATGTCCAGTTGAATCACATCTGTAGCATCAGAACTGTAGCAGGTTTTTCTTTCAGGACAATTGCTAGCCATATGACCAGGTTGACCACATTTATAGCATACCTTGTTGCCCATCATACACTCTCCACCATGGTTCTTATTACACTTAGGACAAATTGGTTTATCAGCTATCCTTGTACCATTATTCCTAGTTTTCTTGGATGTTCTGCCAAAGTTTGTCTTCAAATTTTCTTTTTTCGTTTGGTTGGTGGCCATTAGGCATATAACTATCTTTTTCAGCTAAAATTGCCAAATCTACAGCTTCTTGGAAAGTCTTTGGTTGAGACATATTGACCAATTGTCGTAAGTCCTTTCTTAAACCATGCATGAAACGATCTACCTTTCGACCTTATGTTATTATCACGTCAGTTGCAAATTGAGACTTTTCTATAAATACTTTTGCATATCCTTCCACAAATTTATTTTCTTGCTCAAGTTTCTGGGGTATTTAGGCAATACCTTTGATTGACTAGATGTTTAAATTCATCCCATGACATCAATGTCGCTCCCGTGATACCTCGGATAGCCTGAATGGTTTTCCACCAATGGAGTGCATTAAATTTTAACTTGGTGGAAGCAAACCTCTTACTCGTTGATTAGGGGGCACATAAACATGTTTCGAAACAATTTTCCATGTCATCAAGCCAATTTATCGCAGCTATGGGTCCTCCTTTCCCTTCAAATGTAAAAGGACTAGTACTTTTGAATGCTTTGTAGTCGCATCCTCGAGTTTGACCATTATCAGGTTCATGTCTTATTTGATTTTCTCCGGCTGTTGCTCCATGTACTGAGCTTTGATTCATAGTTGCCTGAACTGGAGCTATTATAGCTCGTAAACACTCCTGGATGCTTCGAGAGATTTTTGTTGCTATATCATCTCTTTCAGTAGGATTGACTGAAGTTGTGGGCCTATCACCTTGTGGGTTTGCTCCACGTCTACTTCCTTGTCTTGGTGGTCTAGTATTCTCTGAATTGTTTCTATTTGTCCTTCGCGTATTCATTCTACAAAATAATATCGTAAGAATATAAAGATAAGTTTCGATTTCATATATGTCATATATCGTACAAAATTGGAACTTTTGGTACAAAACTTGAAGAAATAAAAAACTTTTCCTCTTTTTTTGGCTCCTATATATGCATATTTGCACATACACACACACATACACACACACACATATATATATATATATATATATATATATATATATATATATATATATTCTATCTAAAAATTATAAGGAGTATGATGGGTTCTTAAGAAGTATCTAAATTGCCAGGTCAGTTGGAGATTGAGGGTATCTTCTGCTGAGTGATGGCATTTCTTAATCCATAGCTTAGCCCTCTATGTCATGTGTGTTGTTTTATATTTCCAAAAGCGAATCCTATCCTTGATCCTTGCTATGATGGATCTTTGGCAATCTTTATCTCTTGTTCATAGATTTTACATCTGAGTTCGAGTTCCCAATTTCTATTATCTAATTCGACTGCTTGATCCCAAACCTGTTCGTTTTCTTCAATACTTATTGGTACCAAATTCCAATTTTCAATTTCTTTGCCGACCGATACGTCCTCCTCTTAATATACATAACTAATTTGATCTTCTAAGATAGTCTTATCATCGGATATGCAGTTATCCATATCATAGGCTGCCATAATACTAAAAACATATATCTTATATATATATATATATATATATATATAGGKGGAGGTTCAAACGAGAACCCATGTGATTTACGAGAACGCGAGAACAACCCAATAACCTCAAACTTTTTTAATTAATAAATTAACTTTTATTATATATAAATAATTTAATAAGGACAATAATGTAATTAAGTAATTTTTATAAT